GATTTTGAGGCATATTGCCCCTTATGGCCCCTTATTTACATTGTAAATAAAATATATTTGTGATTATAAGTTAATAACTTAGTGTCATATTATTTTTTGTCAGTATTATAATTTTATTAGGGGCCTCTCTGGGCCCCTCTTAATCATGGGCCCCTAGAATCCTTCTCCTTTTTCCCCCCTTTTCGGCACCCCAGCATGGAGGGATTACTGAACAGACCTAATGAGCACTATGGAAGCAAATCATGACTAATATTTAAATTATAATGTATTTGCAGAAATGCTTTTTCATGTTAAGAATGTGGCTGCATTATTTGACTCATAAATAAAATTAATGATTGATTGATTGATTGATTGATTATTTTTATTTATGTGTCATGCACAAAGTGCCCAACCCTCATGGGTTTATAAGACACCAAAAAGAAAGTACAGTTGCAGTGTACCTTTTTTTTCATTTCATACATAATTACAGCCCCTTTTACAGCTCAGACTTTAAACAGAATATTCTGCCTTCTCTCCCATGCTTTGCAAATAAAATCTGCACATTTTATGCCACAATCAAATGCTATTTCAAATTTTTTTTTCAAAAATGATTTGGCAATCTGAGCGGCGCAGGAGAGTGACGTCAGTAGCCGCTCTTCTTCAGCTCCGAAATGAAATGAAATTGCAATGTCCTCTTTGTTTTCTTTTTGATTATGGCATAAAATGTGCAGTCTTGAAGAAGAAAATTAAAATGCAAATAGGATGATTGATGATTAATTTTATTTATGAGTCAAATAATGCAGCCACATTCTTAAAATGAAAATGTATTTCTGCAAATGCATTTTAATTTTCAAATTTTACATTTCAAATTGAATTTTGCTATCTATTTGCTGGGGCATATTTTGAAAATTAAATCTCAAATGTCTTTTTCTTTTTCATTTTAATTAAGTAAAAGAATGAGCAGTCTTGAAGAAGAAAATTAAAATGCAAATAGGATGATTGATGATTAATTTTATTTATGAGTCAAATAATGTAGCCACATTCTTAAAATGAAAAAGCATTTCTGCAAATACATTTTAATTTAAATATTAGTCATGATTTGCTTCCATAGAGTACAGACCCAGGGACCAAAGTGTTAGGGTGGCCCCACTGGACCTCACCTGCAAGCTATTTGAGTTAACATGTACTTAGCAGGAAAAGATTTAAAATTACCACAAAGAGATGCAAAGAGACAAAAAAATAACTATAGAAATGATCACAAAGACACAAAAATGAGCAATAAAAGACACTAAATTACCTCAAAGAGACACAAAACCACAACTAACAACTCACAAATATCAAGTGTGTGTGTCTTGCTCTTGAGGTGTGGGCCAGCTGTGTGCTCGGTACTTCCCACACAGACAGTCCAACGAGGAACTGAACTTAAAGTGAACTGAGAATTTGAGAGTACTGAGAGTTTTTAAACATATGTCCTAATATAGTTTTGCTGTTATTAAACACAGACCCCTATGACTTAAATTCATCAATGAATTTCTCCATTTGTGGATTATTTGTTCACCTGAGGCATGCAAGATCATAGTTTTCTCACAAATTCAGTGTAACATGGGCATGACATGAGTAAACCATTTACAAATGGTCATCTGGGGAGTGAAGTATTCCTTTTATGTAAAAGCACATCTCCCAGATTTTCCTCCAAAAAGGAGTAGTCAGATTCTTTAAAACAAAAACAGCATCCATCTCAAAAAATAATCAATTTCCTGGTGACCAGGAAATCAGGATTTTTGACTGAATGAATCTTCACAATGTATAAAAGAGCTCCAGAATTTATAGTCAGTTTAAGATCTTGGAACAAAAGGTTAGTTTAGAAATACAAAATAATATAAATGTCTTTGTGGGAACTAATTGCATAAAATCAGATTAGTCAGATCACTGTTATATCACTGTAAAATAATTGTATTTTAAAATGACTCACCTGAGGTGCTGGCCATGTTTGAGCTTTAAGGGTTGCTGGTCGTCTTTGGTTGAAGAGTTCAGACTGTCTGCTGCAGCTCCTGTTTATAAAATGGCTAAATGCAGGAAACCACACCCCCAAACCCAGAGAATGTGAAACTAAAGCTTTGTGGGGTTTTGTCAGTTACAGGGGGATTTTTTTAACAGATGGGATAAAAATAAAGAAATATATTAATAGCACAAGATACAACCACTTAAAATAAATATATCTAGCAAAAGAACAAGAGATGCTCTGTCTCAGTAAAGTCCCACAAACACAGTCATTTATTCCAAATTAATTCATCAAGATATTGTGTTAGTTAACAAATATCATGTCACATTGTATTTGTTACTGAAGCTTTTAAGAGTAGTTCTTAGAGACAACAAATGTTTCTCATTAAAATGCTTATTTATGCAGTAACCAAACCTAATGAGTACATGTACTCTGTCGTGGGAGGCTGAAGTTTTGATATGGAGGTGCATTCATATACTGTTTTTGAATGATTGTACTGGCAACAGTGAGCCTGCACACTATATAAAAAAAAAAAAATCACATCAGGGATTTTTGCTTAGATTTGCTTCATTATTTATTTTGCTTATTTATTTATTATGCCCCGAGCAGGGACGTTACTGTAGGCAGTGCAGGCCCTGATTGCCACCTGGAAATACGCCAGTGTTTGAAGAAGAACTCACGTTACATCAAAAATGGTGTGATTTTTCTATGTATGCCCTCAAAAAGGAAAATTCATCTCCATCATGGTTTTTTGCTTTTGTATAGTTTCAATCTACAACACAACCAATATGCTTATTCTACATGAGCTATAAAAAAAACTTTAATTTAACTATAAAAAAATTTAGTTAAACAAACAATTTCCTATTTTCTTTTGTAGTTTTTGTCATATACAGATATGTTTTGATGATTGCTAGGTAATATGTATGTTGATGTTGTCCTATATCAAGTCTAGGCGAGGCGACATAATTTACAGGAGCTAGTTTAGGGGCAAAACCTCTCAAGACTGACAAGCTGGGCACATCTGCAGGGGGATGTAACATAAAAGCGGCAGTAAAGCGGGATTTATACTTGTGCAGCAGACCTTGTGCCGGCCTTTGGGCCATCATGATTGTTGATCTTGAAGAAGACCCAAAGACTGACATGTCATCAAAATGAAAGAAATGCAAATGAAGCCAGAGTGTGCGACACTTGTTCTGCAATCTTTTTTTTTTTTTTTTTAAGATTTAAGAACAAAAAAAATCCCCAAATTTGCATATTTATTTTGGACCAAATGAACTGAAATGATGGATAACCTTGTTTGTTAGATTTCCCATGATTAAAGAGCCAACCTGACCTTTATGTCTATTCATGAAGAAGACATCTGTCTTCAGGTGGTGCGGGTGTCCAGTATGGGTCAACTTTTCAATTTCAATGCAATTTTATTTATAAAGCCCAATATCACAAATCACAATTTGCCTCACAGGGCTTTACAGCATACGACATCCCTCTGTCCTTTGGACCCTCACAGCGGATAAGGAAAAACTCCCCAAAAAAACCCTTTAATGGGGGAAAAAAA